TATGACAACAATTCAAACGGAATTTGCAATAGGATTCATCTGTATGTCAATATGATGGGTAGAGGTGTTGTGGGCTAATGAAACATAGCCGGAGCAATTTGTATGATCGAATGTAAGCTGTGTTTGAATCAAGTGGGAAAAAAACTGTCAGCTGTCGATTTTGTGCCCCTTTTCTAGGTTTTTTATTCATTTCATCTCAAGCAAGGCAATAAAGTCACTAAGACACGATGGTTTACTAAGTGTGAAAGAATAAGAAGAGAAAAACATTATTAATGAGCAAGGACAATAAAAGAAAAAGAATTAAGAAGATAGTAGATAACGACTGACATTGCATTTAAATTTTTGAAGATCAAAGTTGGCTGGAAAGCATGAAGCCGGAAGAGAGTTCCACAGGCGAGAAGTGAGAAGAATAAAGGAAGAGGAATCACGAAGACAGTAGATAACGATTGAGATTGCATTTAAATTATTGAAGATTAAAGTTGGCTGGAAAGCATGAAGCCGAAAGAGAGTTCCACAGGCGAGAAGTGAGAAGAATAAAGGAAGAGGAATCAAGAAGACAGTAGATAACGATTGACATTGCATTTAAATTATTGAAGATCAAAGTTGGCTGGAAAGCATGAAGCCGGAAGAGAGTTCCACAGGCGAGAAGTGAGAACAATAAAGGATGAGGAATCAAGAAGACAGTATATAACGATTGACATTGCATTTAAATTTTTGAAGATCAAAGTTGGCTGAAAAGCATGAAGCCGGAAGAGAGTTCCACAGGCGAGAAGTGAGAACAAGAAAGGAATTGGATTTTTGAAACGGTGGATAACATTTGATATTGCATACAAATTTTTGAAGATCAAAGTTGGCTGGAAAGATTTCTTTGCATAGTACAAGTCCCAGTCTCGCAGTTTCAAAGTGAAGTGTGTATTTATGCACGACAATGCTCCTTCTCACATATCTGAGCTTACCCGTGAATTCTTTGAGCAGATTTACAGGAGAGAAGATAATGGAATGGCCACCATCAAGTCTTGATCTGAATCCGATCGAAAATCTATGGTCAATTGTGAGGATGAAATTATACGAAGGTAGCAAACAATATAACAGTAAAGCAGATCTATAAGAAGCAATTAAAACTACCATGTCGGAAATTGAATCTGCTGAAGTCAAAAAAAATTAACAAAATCAATGGATAATAGATGACTGGCTATTATTAAGAAGAAGACTTGCTATATTAAAATGTTAAGGATTCCAAGACTTATCATATGTGTTTGTTATTCCTTCTATTATAAGTGTTGATCAATTTTTGATGATTTTATTAGCTTTTATTAAAGTAAAATGTGATTATTTGATTTTGCCTAATAATTTAAGACGACAGTTTTTTAGAATAAATCAAATAACTTCAATAAAACATATTGATACTACTTAAAATTTGAACTCAGGTTTTGTTTTAACATCTAAATTGAGTGTTTAAAATTTGACAATTTTTTTTCAAGTCAAATTTTTGAGTTATTGAAGTTCATATGATTTGCTTAATAACTTCAGACAGGGTATATTTGGTCAACAAAAAAAAAATTTTTTTTTTTGATAACTTACGATTGTATATAATCAAGAAAGTGTTTTACACCAAATTTGTATAACATCGATTATTTTAAAAGACTGTCACGGTGTCGTAATCCGAGTTATCAGTAAACGTGAGGAATTTTACCAATGTTGTGTTAACAGGAGAAATGTATTTAGTTAATAGAAAAGAAGGTAGTATAACCAGAAAGTTTATTTTTATATCATGAACAGTCTGCTATAGAATGTTATGATAAGAACCCAAGCGAGATTTGCAATAGGTTTTATACGAAGGTCAGCATAAGGCGTATAGTAGTTTGGGGTTGATGAAATGTAACTGTTGCAATTTGGAAAATCGAGAGCTAAATTTGTTTTTGAATCAAGTCGAGAAATAATAATAAAAAAAAAACAACAAAAAAAACTATCCATTCTTGACATCCGTATCCTTTTGAAGGAATAGATAAAATCCCCGTGAGCTCGGCGTATTGAAAAGTGATTGGTTAAAAAATGATTTTCTTTAGCTGACTTATGATTGGCCCAGTGTAGTGGAAAATGTGGAAGAAGTTAACGCTTAACCCCGATTTTGCGTACTGGAGACTTTTACTGCAGGGTCACTGTTTCTTTGAGTGGGTGCAAATGAAGAATTCTTCCGCCTTTATGCCCCCCCCAACAAATATATATATATATATATATATATATATATATATATATATATATAAGCACTCTCGGTACAGCTGAAATGTCAAGCAATGACCGTGACCTTTGCGGCTCTCATGAAATCGGTGAAATAAAAACAGTATAAAACTCGAAAGTATCTCTCTGCATTCAAAGTTGATTCGTTGGTTGTTTGTTTTGGGAACGCGCCAAAAATACTGGGATGCGATATTTCTTCTTGGCCTTTCCCTCTCTTTCTTTCTCAGACTAGTGGGATCGCTTTATTTATATTTTGCTTACC